GTTGCCTCAACATGTCCTGGATGCTGAGGATTCCTGTCCGTTCAAGTACGTCCGTGTCAGGATCCCGTCTTGTCATCCCAGCTTTACTATTATGCGAAGGCAGTTGAGATGGAAGTGGTTGTGCTTCCTGGCATGGCTGGAGCAGAGGGTCCAAGTCTCCGCTCCGTAGAGGAGTGTCATAAGAACGGCGGCCTTGTACAACTTCAGTCTGGTATTCAGTTGCGTGCCCTGACGATTCCACACGGAGATTTGCAGTCGGCCAAAGGGATGGCCGGCTTTGGAGATCCGGTGGGCAACCTCATTGTCGATTCTGGTGCTGTTGGGAAGTGTGTTTCCGAGGTGAGGAAAGATGTTCACGGTTTTGGATTGGTGGCCGTCGATAGTGATTCAATGAGGAGTGCAGTATTGCGTGTTGGGTGAGGGTTGGTGCATGACCACCGTTTTTTTCGTGTTGATAGTCAGGTCGAAGTAGGCGCGACCGGTGGCGAGGTGGTTCATGCTGCGTTGCATGTCCACCTCGGTCGGGTTGTTGTTAGCGCAGTCATCGGCGAAGAGCAGATCATGCACTGCAGTTGCAGATAGCTGGGATGGGTGCTTGCATGCGCCTGCTGTTGAGAATATGCCCATCAGTTCCGTAGGCGATGCATATCCCAGAGCGATCATCGCGGTAGACGTCCATCAGCATGGCAGCGAACATGAGCCTGAAGAGGGATTAGGGTGAGTACGGATCCCTGCTTCACTCCACTGGTTACTGCGAATGCCTCGGAGACTTCGCCGTTGTTCGTGACGCGCGCCATCACTTCGTGGTGAGACGGACGCAACATGTGTCAGGAGTCCTTGCTCGATGTGGCCATTGAGAAGATTAAGGGGGATGCAGATGAAGATCTTCCCGTCGACGTTGAGATGTGAGTCTTCCCCGTGATTATCGCACACTTACCTGTTGCCTATTTGCTTATAAGCGCGAACAATGGTTGTGTCCTTTATTTCCTCAGCAACTTATCCGCAGTGCCGCATCTCCCGAAATAGCGTGGTGAGTTTGTTCATTAGACAGTGGTCGCCATGCTTGTCGATTTCGGTTGAGATAGCGTTGGATGCTGATGGTTTCTCGCCGGAGGGTTGTTACACTGCGCAAATGTTTTCTGGAAAGGAGGGCGGGAGATCTAGTTTGACGTTGATTTCCAGGTGGGGGAGCCGGTTGATGGCAGTGTCGGAGATGGTGGAGGGGTGGTCAAGGACGCTGCTGAAGTGCTCGGCCCAGCGATTCAGAATCTGCGACTACTCCGTCAGAAGCGTTAATCCATCGGAACTGAGAAGCGGTGCAGTTCATTTGGTGGTGTGAGAGGGGGATTAGGGCGTAGATTGCCTTGATTGCAGCGAAGATATTCTTTGAGTCGTGGCGGTCGCCTACGCCTGGGTCTCCACGACCTTGCCAGCCATCCAGGAATCCTGCATCTCTCGCAGTCGTTGCTGTGATAGACGCCGACATTATTGAACGGCCGCTCTGTGTGCATTGGCTGGACCATCTACTGGGGTCTATGCACCATGTTTTTTGAGCCGGGCAGTTAGCTGATGGCTGTGTCCTGGTGTTAAAACGTGCGCGGCCGAGGACAGCCAGGGTGGTCGAATGGACGGTGTCCCGCAGTTGGCACTAGGGAGTCTGTGAGGTGGCAATGACGTTCGGGGCTGGCAGGTCTTCCAGATACTGAGCCAACGGATTGTTAAAATGCAAACGGTGCGCAGACAGAATTAACCAGGCAGTATTCAACTTACCTTGTCGTCGCTTACCTTGAGCTCCTTGCGGGCTTTCTGGTGGAGCATCACCTTGGAGCTGACGAAGCGATGGTCGAACCAGCCATCGGCGTCGCAGACTGTCCTGATCACCAGCACGTCCTGTGCATCGCTCCGCCGAATAAGAACGTAGTCCAGCAGCTGCCAGCCCCTCGATCGGGGGTGTATCCTAGGTGGCCTTCTTTCGTATCAGCAGGCGGAATAGCGTGTTGGTCAGTATCAGGCGATGTTCAGCGCAGGTTTGCAGGGGGAGAAGGAGGCCACTGTCGTTGCGGCCAGCTATTCCGTGAGGACTCATCACTCCCCTTCAGGCAGCGCAATCTGTCCTGATGCGGGCATTGAAGTCATAAAGGACAATCAGCTAATTCACCTTCGGCACAGATGGCAGGAGTGTGTGCCGGTCTGCACAGAACTTTGTTTTGGGTTCGAGTGAGAATCCAAAACTTCAGTCCCATAAACTTCTTGTTCCAGTGATGACATCTCCTTCTACAGAACTTTGTCTTCTCCTCGTCAGAGCTGACGGGCGTAGTCGCTAATGATGGCGGTGAATTGACCTCATCGGAGAGGCAGACGGAGGTTCACCAGTCGGTCGTTGATGCCCTGCGGCAAATAGGGTAGTCGTCCCACGATGTCTTTCCGGATAGCAGGTGCGACGCCCTCGTCACGTGTCTCAGCCTTGGGGGCGACCGCTCCAGAAGACGGTGTAGCCGGCATTCAACTCCTCCAGTTGACTTTGTTGGGAAAACCGGTTCTCCCTGAGTGCAGCGATGTAGCGCGCCAATTCTCGAACTACTAGAGCCGTCCTTAGTTCTGATCGGTTGCTCCTAGCATTATCTAGGAAGCGGCGAACATTGTAGGCAGCCAGAATGAACGGACTCACCACAGCTGCCTGTGGGGTGGGGCAGCGGGCAGGAGGACGAGAGGAAGAAAGAGGGAGTGAGAGAATAGTTTCGACAGCATGTGTAGCAGTCTGTGATTCGCGGTACGCGTGCAGATGTCGGGGGTTAGATCCTATTTCTTAGCCGCACCTGTTAGGAATTAGGGTCATGTGCTAGAGATTGGGTTAGTGGTTAGGGATTATTGCTAAGGTTCAGTGTTATACCCCCTATTACCACCGGTCCCGCATGACATGCGGCTGCGGCTTGTCCAGTGCATGTGCAGCCACGAGATAAGATCCTACTCCATTTGGTATAGGGCACCTTTTATAGCCCCTTCATACGCGAGAAAGAAAGTCGTGTTGTCCCTAATCAGAGCTCCGAAGACATCCCAGGTGGCTGTGCGAATCCACTATGGGCCATGCATTTTTATATTTAGTGAATGAACGAAGTTAGCCTGGGCCGCATGCGCAATTGCATGTCGCCCTTTCCTGAAGACTTTTTGAAGTGGGTTGGAGGGAGGGTGATGAGGGAATGTTAGAGAGACGGCAAGAGGCGCTCCCCTCTACCTGTCTGAGCTAACTGGTTGCATAAATGTAGCCGGCGAGCAGTCAAATTAATAGGACGGTATTTCACTTACTTGGTGGTCGCTTGTCTTGTGTCTCCTGTGGGGTTGCAGACGGAACCTCGTCGTAGGGGGTGAAGAGGCGGTGATCCGTACGGCCAGCGGTGGTCCGTGCCCTCTCCGTAGGACTTCCGAGGTGGGGAGGAGGGAGGTGGGGAGAGTCGGGTGGTGATTGGGAGGGGTGGGGATTGGAGGAGTGTGTAGGGATGAGAAGTGATGATGCAGAATAATCGGGAGTAGTGACAGGCACAACAACGGATACCTTCAACGTGGTTTAGCCCGCCGGTCAAGGCGATTACCGGGGTGTGGCCGCTAGGCAGAGACTAGCTTCGAGCAGCCACATGTGAGAGTTGGGTACCGGTTACAGAGCTAGGCGTAGTTAACATCAGCAAGCATATGAGTGACCTGCTACAGTCATCACGTTAAACCATATCTGAAAACCCCTGAAATTAAATTAAATTGTTAAAACATAAACTCAACTAGATTTAACTGCCTTTTACGAAGAACTGTGCAAACACACTAATATTCTTCGAGATGCAAATAGGTCACGGTGCACACTCAAAGGCAGACCAACAAAGTAATAAACCAACTAAGACCTACTAAAACAAATATGGCGGTGTGTTGTGCATATTGCACCCAGTGCAGTTACACAACCCATCCTTACTTCCTTGTCTACTAAAATACAACACATTAACACAGTCATTGTACACTCCTTTGTCAACGCACCATGTCTTCTCACAATGTGATACTTAGAGAAGATACGTCTTTCGGTTCCAAAAAATCTTCAATTTCTGAGTAAGGTAAATCCCGCCGACAGTTGCACTTGCACTTAGGTCTTCCAATCTACATGCTGTATATTATCCGTGCAAAAAGTCTGTTTTCATGAGTTTTATTTTAGTTTATAAATAGTTATGGATAGGTTGTGTAACTCCAATGGGTCAAGACGGTCACTTGGGTGTGGCCGCTAGGCAATGCCCACCTTCGGGGAGATAGGTTAGTCAAAAAATGTGTGACTTCGGCCAGACAAAGCTGGGAAGATCGAATGACTACTTCCTTCCATAAGTAATACTGTAGGAGTAAGTTCGACTTCGTCGAGGCGAGCTTCAGCCGTCAGCTCCCTTATATCTGTCATATAAATGCGATTTTATATCTCAGCTTCCTCCACCTAGGTACAACGCGAAAATAACACAGTAAAAAGCCTTCAGAGTGCACCATTAAAATTTTGAAAATTACTTCAGTCGATCCAGCAGCACGGTATAAAGATCTGTATCTACTCTGCCTTTAAACTAACAAGAGTTTTCACAGTTTGTCTGCATTAACCGCCATAGTCGCTACCGTTCCCCGGGTAGACAGTCTGCTCGACCCCGTCAGTCACTTAACGCACCCGGCATCACCGGTTGGCCGCTTGGTTGCCGGACAGACCACTGACGCATTAGAGAATAAATTCAAAATGAAGTCAGCAGGGGATAATCCATCCTCATGGCAAATATGCACACTTCCTAATTCAATATACCCGAGTCACTTAGGCCAGCTCCGACGCACTGCAAGTCGTAGCTTCCAAAGCCCAACCAAAATTATCGTGACAAATCGGTCCCTATCAGGACTGAGAGGAAGACAAGAAGTGCAATAATCAGTATGATTGCAATGCTGATAGAGATCACACTCTGTCAGTGTGACCATGTCGTAAGAATACGCGGTTAGCGTCTGCCAAACAGACTCTGTCATGCAGTCGTCGCCATCGGTAGTTGGGTAGCAGTAATCCTTAGGTCGGTGGTTCAAATCCGCCTCACCGGAGCTAGTTTTTGTTGAACTTTGTACCAGATCAGTTAGCTGGTGGACTGCTTAGTTTCTCCTATGTTCGTGGCTGACGCAAAGCAAGTGCGTGTACTGAGTGAGCATAAGGAAAGATTACACCATGTGGCTCTGCTACTAGGTGTGATACTTGACTGGGATGTAGAACCAGTAGAGTGCAAGGAACTTGTGGGACACATGAAATATAGGAAAATGGGCAACAGTTTTGCTGCCTTGATGAGGGTTCAAATGTCAAATAGCCTTAGGAAGCCCTCTTAAAAAGGGGTTCGCATTGCAATTCAATTCCTGCTATTGACATCCATCACGTTCCTCCAGTTACTTACCAGCCAACTAGTCTGGCATAAAGCTCAACCAAATCTAGCTCCAATGAGCCGAATTCAAACCACCGACGTAGGAATAACTGTTGCACAACTACAGTCCTCCGATCTGTCACCGATGGAGTGTAATCACATGACAAAACTGCATTTTGGACCGGTTCACAAACTAGTTTAGCGGCTTGTACTCAGCGCAAATACACCTTTTCCTCTTTCCTCTTCTCAATAGTCAAAGTTTCCATTTAAGAAAAGTGAGCACTGATTGTGAGCTAGATCAACTCCACACTCCCTTCACTCCGGTAATTTCCAGTCACCCGACCCCAGCAAGTCGACAGGGGCTACTTAATAGGTGTTTTAGTGGATTAGGTCTAGAGGCTGATGGAAAACGTAGACCCGGTCTGACGTGTACCAGGCGTAAACATTCACACCAACATGACAATTAGGTCGTCACAAGCGATAGTGTCCACCTTATTGCCAGTGGAGTGTGCTATATCGGTGAGGCAGTCTGCGCCCTCTCTCGTCCCTCTGGATTTGAATGTTCCCTTGATGGGATAGTCTCGACTGATTGGCTCGCCGTAGGCTTAAAGTTTCCTGCGTGCCAATAAGTGGACAATCTGAGGGGAGGAAGGCGATTGTAAAGTAAAAACGCCGGCACTACAGTCGACGGAAAAGCAAATAGGAGGGACCGAAAACTAAGCGAATTGAAGTTACGTCGGACGCCTAAGTCGGGAAAATATGCAAGGTACGGAACGCCCTGGAATGAAGGGGTTGTGGCCGCCGCCTTAAATCCCGTGTTGTAGGAAGGGGGAGTAGGCGAGGCGAATGGCGGATGTCCAAGGGGACCACTAGTAGGGCTTTGCGACTGTAGTACCCGCGGATTACTGAAGGATGGCATCGGACATCCGATAAGGAGCAGTTATCATGCCTGATTCAGTCGGCGGAGAGAATGACACGAGTAGAATGTCTGCCTAGGTAGGTCACTGACCCTACTCCGTTCACCAATGAATTTGTCCATAACACCTCAGGGAAGCGCTGCATTCTTGCCATTTAAAGGCGGCAGAGCGACGCCGCCTAATAGAATGAAACAGGAGGAAGGTAGCTCCACCTTCTTTAATTCGCAAATGGATGTGATATTCTTTCGTAAGACCAAAGCTCGCCTGACCGCTTCTACTGTCTATTCCTAGTTGATGCTCTTTTCTGCAGGTTCAGTTCCCCATATCGTCAGCACCGTCAATACTACCGCGTGGAATTTCAATGTCCGATGCTAAAAAAAGAGTTTTCGTCAATATACCTGCAAATCCATCAGAGCACAGCTGGGATTAACATCCGTCCAGTTAGTAGAGTAACGAGGGCGACAGTGCAGTGGGTGGTGGGCAGCCCTGCACCTCTAGAACACTTTTCTCTCGTTACTCACCACTCACATTCCCATCTATAAACAACAACCTGTGCTTCTATACTACCATGACGACGCACAAACAGCCATGGTCTGACAAGCAGTCAACCAAAGGCAGAAGTCAGGGAACAAACGTCGAAAATGTCAGAGGTGGTACTAACTCGACCAGCCAACCGGTCTGGCACGAAGCTCGATAGAGCTACATGACTGTGTTGCTTTCATAGTGAAACCACAGTTTCGTGCTTCTTAGCTGTGTAGCTCGCACAACTGACTCCTGTCAACTGTCACTTTCTGTCATACTTTTCTCCTGCCAGAAAATAATGTCTTTAAAAATAATATTTGGTTGTCTAACAAGGGATGCGATGTGTATAGCTTGAACATAACTTCATTTGGCATAGCAGAACCCCGTCTGTGTCTGTGTCTGTGTCTCCGAGGTTTCGACTTCAACTCGAGTAGGGTTGACTAAATCAAACTAGACAATTGCTTGGGCATTTGGAAATGCCGTTGTGTTCTGTCGTCTCCACTGTCGTCTTCATCCGGTGATAGCTGATCTGGCAGAGCGGAGGACTGTAATTGTGTAGCAATTATCCTTAGGTCAG